CATCACAGATCGACTGGAACGACAAGTTGTATCTCGCCCCGCTCACCACTCTGGGAAACCTCCCCTTCCGCAGGTAACATACGACACGACACGACCAACGACACGACACGACCAACGACACGACACGACACGACACGCACCTAATCAAACAAACGATTTTTCTCGTCTCTACGCCGTCCAGGATCTGCAAAACTCTCGGCGCGGACATCACTTGCGGTGAGATGGCCCTCGCCGAGAATCTGCTGCAGGGCCAGCCGTCGGAGTGGGCGCTGCTGAGGCGCCACCCGTCCGAGGACATCTTCGGGGTGCAGCTGTGCGGGCCGCACCCGGACCACCTGACCAAGTGCGGCCAGGTGCTCGATGAGACCATTTCGGTCGACTTTGTGGACATCAACTGCGGCTGCCCCATCGACCTCGTCGTCAACAAGTACGTACACGACCCATCAACCTCAACATCGTCATTGATCGCTCCTTCATCGTTAATCAACCGATCGTCGTCGTCGTCATCGGCATCAGGGGTGCGGGTTCGGCGCTCTTGGACCGGCCGCGTAGGCTAGAGGGAATCGTGCGGGGCATGGCCACGGTCCTCTCGTGCCCGCTGACCGTCAAGGTGCTGCTGCTGCTGCTCTGCCTGCTCGCCCACCCGCTCTCCCACGCGCGCTACCACCTCGTCGCCCCGCCCCGCCCCGCCCCGCCACAGCTGAAGCTTTTCGGTGCTCACGCCCGGCGCGCACAACAGATCCGAACGGGCAAGGACGAGAAGGCGCCCAACGCCCACAAGCTCATTCCGCTCCTGGCCGAGTGCGGCGCCGCCGCTGTCACAGTACGCGCCGCTCGCTCGCGCGCCCGCGCGGCTGCTAGGGTCCCTGTTGCCCGCTGACACGGGGTTGGGGGGGGGGGCACGTTCAGCTGCATGGTCGCTCCCGTTTGCAGCGCTACTCGAGGGAGGCCGACTGGAGCTACATCCGCCAGTGCGCAGAGACCTCGCCCATCCCCATAATCGGTATCGTGCACCGCCCACACACGACACACACGACACACACGACACTCGAGCTGAGAACTCACGCGGCCGTGCGCTGTGTGCGCTGCCGGTGGTCTAGGCAACGGAGACATCTACGGGCCGCAGCAGGCGGCCGAGGCCAAGGCGGCTGGCGTGTCCACCATCATGGTGGCCCGTGGCGCGCTCATCAAGCCCTGGGTGTTCACCGAGATCAAGGAGAACAGGGACTGGGACATCTCTGCTACGGAGCGGTTCGACCTGCTGAAGGACTTTGTCAATTTCGGGCTCATGCACTGGGGCTCGGACGACCAGGTCCTACACACACACCTCTCTCTCACACCTTTCGACCCTCGAGGAGTGATTCGCGCTGACTATGCGTGTGTTGGGTGTCTGGCTGCAGGGCGTGGCGACGACGCGCGAGTTTTTGCTGCAGTGGCTGTCGTTCCTCCACCGCTATGTGCCCATCGGCCTCCTCGAGGTGATGCCGCCGAAGCTGCATCAGAGGCCGCCTCCCTTCTTCGGCCGCAGCGACTTTGAGACCTTGCTCGCCTCTCCTGTCGTCAATGGTACTCACGTGTTTGTTGTGTGTGTGTGTTGTGTGTGTGTGTTGCTGATGTCCTCTCCCTTCGTGTTCTGCTGGTTTGTGCTGCCAGACTGGGTGTCGATCAGTGAGATGCTGCTGGGGCCGGTGCCCGATGGCTTCACCTTCACTCCCAAACACAAATCCAACGCCTACAATGCCAACATTGAAGGATAGAATGATCCCAATAATAAAGTCCTTCCTGCCTGTTTGAGCGCACGACTGGGTCCTTCACTTGTGCCTCTACTCGCAAGCTTCGAGGTGATTGCTCATTGTCCCCCCCCCCCCGCCCACCATCGCCCGAAGCTGGGCGAGTAGAGGCACGGAAACGCAGGCAAAGAGGGTCGGGCGTGGCGACGTCTGGTCAGGCAGCCATTTGTTTGTGTTACTCTCACATCAGCAAGAAACATGAGCAAAAGCCAGTGGCTCTGCTTCGTCATCCCCCGCCCAGACTCGAGTCTTTCGTTGGCGTAGGGGCAGCAAGATGACAAGGGAAGAGGAAGAGTCGCCCCGTAGTGCCATGGCAAACCCTACACCGTGCTCCCCATTCACAACAGATGATCAGTCTGCCCAACCGCCAAGCGTTCCTACTCCAACATTGGCTACACCACTCCCCATGCGCCTCAGCTGGAGCCTCAGGAGTACGCCACCTGGCTCCTCTCTTGTTTCGCAGCAGCAGTTCATCTCCAGGGCCAGTATGCTGATGACAACGCTGATTCTCAGAGTTGAGGGCTACTTACTTAGCTTCCTTGGGCGGACACTGAGAGGAGGTGGTCGTGGTGCGCTGCTGAAAGAAGCGGGCCGGGACAAAATATTTAGCGCCGACGGTGGGGCTCGAACCCACGGCCACCAGGTTAAAAGCCTGGCGCTCTACCGACTGAGCTACGTCGGCTGTGACACTCAAATTCGTCCTCCACTCACTCACAGCAGAGAGTTTTACAGAGCAGTGCGCCCTGGTGTAGAGGTGGTGTTCTGTCAATGTTTGGCACGAATACTTGGAGGAAGGAGGTAAAGCGTGCACCGAACAAAAAGGTCCAAGAGGAGGACGAGAAAAGCGTAGAGGGTAGGGACAGGATAATCTTCGGGGCCTGCTTGCTTGTGGGGTGGTGTAGTGGAGTCGGAGTTGTGTTGCGACAGCGACAACGGCAGTATCATTGGAGAAGTGAAACGTTCTACGACCAGCTCTCCATCGAGTTGAAGAAATCCGTCGCCATGCTCGCCAGCTGAAAGCAAAGCCAAAGAGTCAGTTGGAGGCGAAAAGTGACAGAGCGCGGAGAATGGCACACGCACCTTCTTGGTGCCCTGCACCACGGTGTCCTTGACGGCGTTGAGATCGGTCTGGGCGTTCCAATTGCTCATGTCGCCGCCGCCTGTGTCGCGATGAGGCAGCCAGGTGAGTAAACAAGGCGCAGAGACAAGACGAACTAAACATCAAAAAAGATATACATACCATTTTCCTCTTCCCTGCCAAAGTATTGGGCCGAAGAGATCGAGTTCGCCTGTGAACGGTGGAATGAAGGCAATGCCATGTGAGAACCCAATGGGTGCCAATCTGATGACCACAAGAATTGGGAAGATAAAGAAGAACGCGCGTACAGAGGAGAATCGAGAGTGGACATCCCTGGCGGACTCGCTGCTCCCCCTGCTAGAGCCGGATTCATCTGCGAGAGGAGTGGATGAGACGAGCCTGACGCGCTTGCGATCTCTGCGACAGAGAATGCTGGAGGAGGAGCGTACCGTCTCCAAAGAACTGTGCGGAAGAGATGGCAGTGGCGCTGGAGAACCTGTCGCGGGCTACGTAGGTCTCGTCGTTCCCCTTACGAGCGGCTGTGCGTCACATGGAGTGGAATCAGTGATTCGCAAGACCAGGACCGCACCACACCCACACCGGTGTGGGCGCGTACCAGAGGATTTGTAGGAATAGCTGGAGGAAGACGAGGGAGCGGGGGCAGAGGCCGTGGAGGTCGTTGGGGAGGCGAGGATGCGGTGAGAGTGCAGGTTCTGATGAGCGCTCGAATCGAATCCCTTCTTGCCGCTGTGGAGAAAGAAACAAAATCAGCCTTCCGGGAGACTACCTTTCCCGCGTGAGAAGCCGACAGTACCTGGCGCTCGCCTTCGAAGGCGCACCAGACGACTTCTCCTCCTCCTCGTAGGCAAACCTGCTGGCTGCTGCCGCACCAGTGGAGGCCACAGGCTTGCTGCAGTAGGAAAAGGCCAATGGCGCATGCGAACCCGCGGACACACAATTAGTAAGTACTTTCCTTTTCTGAAGGCCGACCATTGTGACGAGGGCGGAGGGAGAAAGTGTACGTCTCTTCTTCTTCCGGCTCTTCCTTCTCCCAGTCATCTCCCCAGTCATCGAACTTGGCCTCGACCTTCTTGGCACCGAGACGCATTCCTATGTGCACATCCCGCCATCGCGATCATCAGCAAACGCTAAGGAGGGATAGCGAGTTGTGGCCAAGCAGATAATTACCCTTGGTTGCAGCACCGGACGAAGACGCGGTGGGCTTGAGCACAGGCGCGGAGGTGGCGGCGACAGGCTTGGCCACAGGGGCAGCGGCCACGGGCTTGGCAACCGGAGCGGCCCTAGGTGAGAAGACACAGTTAGAGGCGCAGGTCGGAAGTGAGAGCCGCTATGTGTTCGAGCAGAGTTTGGCGTAAGCGTACTTAGCGGGGGCCGGCTGAGCGACGGGCTTGGTTGCCGAGCTATTGCGCACAGGCTGGGGCGAGGCCCTGTGTTTACAATGACGAGAAAGGGTGCTCAGGGTCAGCTCAGAACATCATGGATCCTAGGATTTCAAGAGGGGAGCGGTACTTAGGCTGAGTGACGGGGACGGGAGACGCGGTCTTGGGCTTGCCACCGGCAGCGGTCGAGAACCAGTCCTCCTCTTCCTCTTCCTTTGGCGTGCTCTCCTCTTCGGCGCCCTTCTTCGCAAATGTAGAGCTGTGCACGAGGACCGCAGAAGAGAGTGCAGGACGCGTGAGCCGGAGGTGTTGCCATGACAGCGGCAGAAGAAAGAGAGTAACGTGGTACGTACGTTCGCTTGGGGGTGCCGAAGACGTCGGTCTTGAGCTGCTCCCGGTAGAGCTCGGCGGCGCGGGAGCGGTACTTGGTGTTGATGTCCTCACGGCGTGTGCTCTCAATGCCGTGGTTTCTACATATATACATCACCGACACAGGAACGCAATGGTTATGAGGCTTCTCGAGACCTAGGCGATGGGTCAAGCGAGAGGGAAGTCAAGAGACGGCATACCTGAAGAAGGCGCGAGCACGACCGTTGCCGCCGAGTGACATGTACTTCATCTGATCCTTCGTCCAGCCGTCGAACATAGTCGATCTACGTAGCGTAGGCGAGCGTTACATGAGGTGAAGAGAAGGAGAGGGCGCTTGGGCGGGAGTAGTGTACCGCACGAAGGAGAGATGAGTGCCAAGGCTGCGGTGAGTAGCCGAGCAATCCATGCAGATGAAGATACCAAGAGGGATCGAAGCCCAAGTGGGGCTCTTGGCCTCACAATCGAAGCAAGTCTAATGACAGTACACGGAAGATGCAACGGAAGAATCAGGAATCAGGAATGGTGCGGTGAAGTGCAAGTGTTGAATTTCTTTTCCCTTTGGCTGTGCAATGTTTGCTTTCGCGATTGGCGTTACACGGAGAGGGGGGGGGCACCTTATTGTCAAGCCTCGCCCTGAGCTGGGCGAATTGCTTGTTCATCTCTTCCTTGGGCACAATTTCGTCTGCTCTCGACATCTTTTATGTTCTTCCCTCTGACGCTGATTTGAGTGTTCGCTCTCCAATCGTCGCAGCAGCCTTTTGATTTGATGCAGCAAACAAATCAGTCTTGTTTGGGCGGAGTGTGGAGAATGCGAAATTTCTGGCGAACAAAACAAGCAATCGCGGCGACGTCGAGCTTTGGTGACGTGGCACGCCACAATTTTGGCTGGCAAAGCAGTCTTGGCTGGCAGTGCAAGCTTAGGGCTGCCCAGACCGGCCCAAGACCACCACGAGAAAGTAATACAACTGCCTCTCCACCAAGCAACACGAGTGCGTTTCCTCCTCCCTGGTTTCTTGTTCTCCTACATTCTCCTACTTCTCTCCTAGGAAAAATGACGGTGCAAGGGAGGCCAATCGGTTCCGATTTCACAAATTGATTCGCCCGGCCGCGATTCCTTCCCTCTTTCTATCGCATTAATACCGCCAAACAGGATGAAGCTGTCGCTTGCCAAGACCGAAGACCGTGCTCCTTCGTATGATGAGGAGTCCAACATCTTCCAGCCCCTCGCCCTTCAGATTGTCACTCCCGAGGGTACGACCATCACCATGCAGGTGACCACCGGCGACACCATTTCCATCATCAAGAAGAGGTACTGTTCCCTGTCCTTGTTTGTCATGGTCTGTGTGGCCCCATGGCGCAACTGCTTCTCTAACTCGTGCGACGAATGCGTGCTGTGTGAACTTGCGCGCGCGTTGTGTGTGCTGGCGCGTTGATGGGCCAGGCTGGAGGTAGAGCACAGCATTGCGTACAAAGAAACCGTGCTCACGCTCAACGACAAGGTGATGATCGAGCCCCTTTCCCTGAACGACTTTGCCGACCTGCCCGCCGTTGATCCCGTCATTGTCTGCAAGGTACTCGACAAACCCTGAGTGGCGTGATCACCCCATACACAAGAACTATGCTCACTCGAGGCTCACCTTGCCTTCTCGTGCCAACAGGCAACGACCCAAGCTTCCTGAACGTGACCACGAAGGACCACACTCCCGCGCCACCGCAATGGGGCAGCTTTCTTTGGCGATGTTGTTGTACTTTAAGGTGGCGGTTCACATAACGCTCCGCTTCACTGCAGGTCGAGACTGGCCGTTTTAAAAACAAGCGAGAGGCACTTTGTATTCTTTCTTTACACCACCAAGGCTCGCCCACCCCAGGACTACACAGTCCGACCTCCGCCCAAAACCCTCTCTCTCCACTACACCACAAATTAGAGCCATGGCGTTCTTGTTCAAGAAGAGGACTGCGAAGAAAGAAGAAGACGTGCTGCAACGGGTCGCGGGCATGGTGCGCGACAGAGAGGCACAGAAGCTGGCCACCGACCACGGCCTCAGGTTCACATGAGCGCCATTCTCCTTGTCTTGTCTTGTGCGTGCGTGCATGCGTGGCATTCCAAAAAGGCCTTCTCGTAGTCTCCGTCGCACACACACTAACCTCCACATAACTTGACAGCCTGCAAAACGTATCGTGGGAGGACAATGCGCGCGACAAGGGCTCATGCTGGGGACCGTGCATCAGCGACATGACCCTCGTGGTCGACAACACCAACCTTCCCGTCATCCGCTACCCCAACTTCGAGGACCTCACCTGGTACCGTCATTCCCACTGCTCACAAGAGTCATTCCATGCATAACTCACCTTTCCGTGTGCGTGTGGTGCGCGTGTGCGTGTGAGGCGTGTTCTGCGTGTGCGGTCGCCAGGGACGTGCCGATGGAGCGCATCATGCTGCGCGTGGGGAACGAAAAGGGCGAACAGGCCTTGCGCACGGTATCGCTCCGGACCTATCTGGCCGAGCTCCGCAGTTTCCTGCACCGGCCCGACGGCTGGGCCGGCATCAACTCCTCCCTCTACGACGAGACCCGCGATTCGCACGTGATCGTGTCCGCGCAGGCTTGCTTCCTGCCCGTCCCACAGGTGCCCGCTGGCCCATTTCGTGTGTTCTTGCTGTTTCATGCACTAACCCGTCGACGCGCGTCTTGCAGGGCGGCGAGGCCAAGTTCAACGTCAACCTCTACAACTACCAGAGCCGGACGGGCGACCCGGCCGTGCTGGCGATCGTCGCCACCGCGCAGGGCACCTCGGCTCAGATCGTCAACGCCTCGGGTGAGCCTGAGTCCCACTAGTTAGTTTCATAACCTGTGTGGCTGCATTCCTCACCACCTATCGTGTTTCTTTGAATGGCGCGGTCACAGGCCAACACCTGTACTTCAACAAAAACGGCGAGCGCGCAAGCTTCATTGGCCAACGACTATCTGACAATCGCCAGGAGCGCGGCGTCATCGAGGTAACATTCCCTGATCAGGCCACCACTGACACGCTGGCGATGAGCGAAAACTCACAAAGGTTTGTGGCTCCCAAAAGGAGCAAGACAAGGGCAAGAAGAAGCAAAAGGTGGAGATGACCGCCGAGGAGAAGCAGAACAACATGGTCGCCATCATCCAGGTGCCTCTCAAGCGCAAAGGCCCTGAAGACGACTGGTCGAGCGACGGGTGCGAGGAGGAAGATGAAGATGACGAATGCTGCAGTGAATCCGACGCCGAATGCGACGTGGAAGATGCGATCATCAAGGTGGGCGAAGCCGAGGGCGAGTTCCAGGAGATCGGAGGCCTCGACATCGAACGCGACACCCGATTCCCCGTTCGCGTGACTCTCCAGTTCTACAAGACGACCAGCAACGGAGAGATCAACAACGCCGTGGTTGCCACCATTGCCAGCCAGATCGATGGGGCTCGAGGCAACGCTGCCTTCCTGAGCAGCCTCGTGGTGGAGGGCGACACCGGACGCCCCACCGAGTGGGCTGCCTAAGCCCAAGCTCGCGGTCAGTGTGCATCGCCGATGGGTCGTTGGCGCGGCCAAAACGAAGAAAACAACTGCGGTGTGCTTGAGCGCGCACTATCATTACACGTCATACGGGGTAATGTTACAGGATAGGAAAGAGAATAAGGAGGAGAAGAGCGAACAAGAGGAGGAGGAGAGGGAGAAGAGCGGAAGCAAAGATTCATAAGACGTGCGGCGTTGGCGTGGGGCCAGCTTGGAGGAAAGCGAGGGAGACTGACTGTCAAGCGAATGGGTCGGAGAAGAAGTTTTCTCTCGTCTTCTGGATGTACCGCACCACCAGCATGTTAAAGTCCCTGTCATCATCGCAGCCAATCGTGATTAGTCATTACGTCAACGGCTCGAGTTGGGCGAGTTAGGTGTCCGTGCCTGATAGCAAAGGCTAGGATGACGTTGTAGAAGAAGTCTGACACTCTTTTCAGGAGATCCACCACCTCTTTGGCACCCTTCTCCCACTGCACGATCCAATTTTCTGTTTCCGTGGGTGGCACACGATCAATGATTCGGTCAGTGCGCAATACAGCAACACCAACAGCAACTGCACCAGCAACGGACGTCAAGGCCGCAACAAGAAGACATGACAGGAAGCAGGTACCGAAATAGGTGGCCTTTTGGAAGGTCTGGGAGAGCAGCTGGACGTAGGAGTCATCCCTGCGCAGTGATGAGCGATGAGCATAAGAAATGTGTGTGGGGGGGTAAAGAACGATAAGGCAAGAACGAAAGCGACAAAACACGACGTACATCTGGCCGCCGGCAAGACCTGTTTTGAGTAGACCAGCTCCTCTCGCCATTCCCTTCAGAATGGACTGGAAAGAGAAGAGGAGGAGGCAGCGCAGAATGGTCAGGTGATGAGTTGTGGCACACACGCGTTTGGGTGGTTCTCGTGTCTGGCCTACGTACCCCCTCCTTGGATTTGATGAACGCCAGGTGGCGCGATAGTCCACTCTGCACGCTATCCAGGACCGAGCATAGCTCCTCCAGTTGCTGTGCGTGTCGTGTGCCGTGTGTGTGTGTGTGTGTGTGTGTTAAAAACGAGCGTCTGAAGTGCTTGGCTGATGGTGTAAGTACTCGGATGAAGAAGTCTTTGTTGCTGGAATCGTTCGGCGAAAGCTTGGAGAGGGCTTCGAGCAAAGTCTGCCAAGCACGCACACAATGATGATAAGAAGAAACAGAGCTTGCGCTGCTTTGTGTGTGAGTCATGCGCTCGCGTACCTGGAGGCCTGCGATCTTTTGCTGCACGCCGTGAATTTGGCGCCTTGCTGGCTCCTGCAAGGCACCGAACGTTTTTTAATCTCCGACATCAAGACCCAGCGATCAATTGCAATAATAAATAAATATATATATATAATAAAAACGTACCACACCGTGCGCGAGATGTAGAGCTTCGGTGTGATGAAGCCGCCCGTCGTGATCGTCGTGTTAAGCACCTGCGGCAAACCACGACCACCACGTGAGCCAAACCCGAACACCCAGATTGCTTTGGCAGTCTCCGCCTAGGCATAAGCGCAAGGGCTAGCTGTTCACCTTGATGAGCCAGAATGGTCGGGCCAGGTTGGAGATTGGTGGCGCCTCCATCATCTTGGCCGTCTGTGCACGCGCGCACGACGGTAAGAACAAGAAACGAGAAACAAGAAAAAGGGAAGGAAAAGGAAGGGACACGGTACAGCGGGGTGGATCATCTCCTCCACGAAGTTGACCTTGGCGACCTCCTTGCGGACCAGGGTGCCTGCGATTCTTTCGCCGTTAGGGTGGTGGCCACCAAGGCTCTGCCGGCACACAGAGAGAGATTGGGGGGCAAATCTACGCACCGATCCCACGCGAGGCGAAGTTGCTGCCCGGCCGCGCTGCCTTCTTTCTGTGGACGAGAAAGCAAAGAGTTGAAGAAGAAGAAGAAGAAGACGACGAAGAGGTTGAGAAGACAGGACCACATGAATGGAAGAGAAGAAGAGAAGAGAAGAGAAGAGGCGGCGTTACGGGATGCACTTCTCGAGGGCGACGGCGCGTGCACGGTATCGGGCGATGCGCTCGGCCGCTGCTGGTCGCACCTCGGCGGGCAGGTGCGCCTGCTCCGCCTCCAATGCCACCACCAACTGTTTCGGCCGTTGCCATCATAACAGCCAAGGACAGGAAACCAAACACGAAAAACTAATATTAATAATCATAATAATGATTAGACGAAGAAAAAACAACGTAAAGAAGAGAATCATTACAATAGAGATAATAATCGAAGCACAAATAATAATGAAACAAATATAACGAAGTAATATAACGAAAGCGAAGTGAGGGGGGGGGCGAGCACCTCTTTGTACTTCCAGAGGGCAGAGACGTACTCGGCGTTGCGGTCGGCTTCGACGGCCACGCGGGCAAGCGCCAACGCGTTCGTTATACGTTGCACTTGCGCGTCCATTCTGTTTATCTAATCTCTTCGCCTTCAATCGTTCGGCCTTGACTGAATTTCACGAAATTAACTTCGACGGCGGCCTGCCGCCTCCTGGGAGGTCTCAAAGATGAGCTCGTTGGCCCCAAGCACAAATACGAAACTCAAATAAACAAACTAAAATATTTTGAAATATATTATATGGTTATTACGATGAACGAAATTAAATTGTCTACAGTAAACATGTTTTCACTTGTTTTTTCGCAGGCGTACGAGAATAAAAGGGACAAAGAAAAGGTCAGACCTGTATTCTCGAAACTGTATCGCCGTTATCGGCCACCTTCAAGCTTGGCTTTGGGCGCTCCAGGTGGCCACTCCAACTGTGTTTTCTGTCATGAAGATCAAGTCACTCTCCACGACGCTGGGGTGCGCCCTCATCTTTGCCTTCTTTGCGGCCGCGGTGGCGGAGACTGAACCCAAGTACCCCGTATGGCCCGCACAGGTACACTTCACCCTCATATTAATCCATAATATCTCTGTGCATGAAGCATAACGCTTGTTTCACTGCTTTTTCTGTGTAACACACGCAACATGCACGCGTGCAGTTCACAGTTGACTTTGATGTGCTCGTGCCGGACTACGTACGTGGCATCGACCCCTCGCGACACTTGAGCCCATGCGGCTTCTCTTCTTCTCCCGAGATCTGGCAAACTGACATCTCGGCTGTGTTGGACCGTGTCACGGCTCGCAATGCAGGGTAAGAACTTTGTGAAGAAGGGCGCCCTGTACTACGACTACAAGACGCAGAGGGCGAGGGCCGATTACTACGACTGGTGCATTCCGCTTTTCGACGGTACCAGCGGAGGCGGCCCCAACCTCTACAACGAGACCTGCTCCTTCCTCATGACCCCCAAGGGCGCCTTCTTCATCAGGTTCGCCAAGCTCATCACACACGACACACATGGCACGCACGACACGATACACTTGTTGTCATGACGCACGCTCCTCCCTGATGCAACGCGCGCAGCCCCACGTTCCCGATCAAGGAGGACAGATGCTGCTACTTTGCCGACATTCCTCCGCCCACTCCCGACTGGCTGAAGAACACGCGCTACAACACCACTGAGGCATGACACACACACTCACACACACACAACACTCACACATCACTCACACACTTCTCACATCGCGAATGATCATAATGGGCGATGTTGTTGAGCTCACATGTGTGTGCCATGAACGTTGGGCTGCTGTGGCGCGCAACGCGCAGGTGCTGAGAGGTCAGGTGTGCGACAAGTGGTGGTTTGCCGGCACGAGCGATCCCGACAACCCCTACTACGGCTACTGGGACCGCGTCACCGACCAGCGACCGGTTCGATTCCTGGGCCTCTCGTCCATCGGCGTCACCATCCTCGACTACACTGCCTACAAGGTGCCTGCCATTCCGGGTCTCTCAGTGTCATTTCCCTATTCACACCACCATACAATCCGCAGGCTGGACCCGTGCACGATCCGAGCAGGCTCGACGTGCCGCCGAACTGCCAGTCCGAGTGCGTTGCGCCGTCGGTCTTGGCCATGACGCGCCGCATGATGAAGCAGAGCGTGCCGCACCTGCCCCTGGTCCCGGTCAGCTTGTGATGACGGCCCTGTCTGCAAAAAACAAGAGCCGCATTCCTCGAATGCCAGACAACATAAAAACAAATAAAATAAAAGAATCATTTTCTTATGCCACCAACGATCGTAATCCTTGGGAGCCGCGAATTGACAACGCAACACGCGTGCAAGAAAGTTATTGGTGCTGGGTATGGTATCTTCCATCTGCTTACAACAGATGAGATTTAACATTAACTGGCCACTACAGTTCGCTCTTCTGCAGGAGATGGAAACGGAGCCGGCCCACCCCACCCGCCCGGCTGAGCATCTCCTGGTGGTGGAGGGCACCAACAACAGCGGCGACGGCGCCGATGCCCAACGTACGCCCAAGGAAGGGCCGCTTCAACAGGGCACCGGCAAAGGCAAGAAGAAGGAAGAAGGCGATGCTGCGGTAGTGGCAGCACCCGAAGAAGAGGGTGTGCAGATGGAGGAGGAGGACAAGAAGCAGAGGAAGAGGAAGAGGAGGGAGGAGAAAGAGGGAAGGAGGGAGTGGAGGCGGGCGCTGCGGGAGAAGGAGGAGGAGTACTGGGACGCCCTGTACGATCGGGGCCGCCGCATGGTGTTCGGCATGGGCCTGCCCCACGACCCACGGCGCGGCATTCAGCTCCTCCGACGTACGGCTTGCCTTGCTGTGCGCACTGTACACGTTGTGCTGTATTGCTGACTCTGCGACACACGCACACGCACACACGCACACACGCACCACGGCACGCACACGGGTAGGTGCTGCGCGTGAGGCTCGACATGCGCCGGCGCGGTGGGAGCTGCAGTGCCTGATGGCAGTTCAGCCCTTCGGCGACACTGCCAGCAAACCCGTCGGCCTCACCGACGACTCGGAAGCCGAGGCACCGAGCGAAGGCGACGAAGACGGCGACGAAGTGGAGGCAGAAGAAGAAGGCGACGACAAACGCCACACTGGCAGCAGCACCAATAAGAAGACGAAGAAGAAGGAACGAGGAATGAAGGAGCGTGAAGAAGAGGAACTCGAGGAAGAAGATCTCAAGTCGAAGAGGAAGAAGAAGGGCAAAGACAAGAAGAAGAAGAAGACGAAGAAGACGAAGAAGACGAAGAAGACGAACAACGGGGAAGCAACAGAGATCAAGAAGGAGAAGAAGAGAAAGAAGCACTCGAGCGCGGGCAGCAGCCGCGGGAGTCTTCAGCGCGAGTGTGCCGAGGTCATCAACATCGGCAGCACGGCCGCTGAGAGTGCTGCTGATGACGACGACGACGACTGGGAGCATAACAGCGCGGAGGACGAGGACGGCGTCGAGCTCGACGAGATTACCGAGGCCGAGTTCCGGGAGGTCATCGCGGCGATCCAGCGGGTGCGCCTGACCACCCTCCAGCGACTGGGCCAGGCCCGCTCGGCCACGCAGGCCCTCAATGAGGCAGCCGCGGCGCGGCTGAGCGGCTTCGGCGACGTGGGCGACGCGACCACGGGGCGGCACACCTACGCGATGGACTGGGACAAGGCCGTCAAGGCCTATCGGCGCCACGTGAGCCTAGTGGTCGTCGACATCGACGGCGAGGCGCCCGCGCAGGGACCGACCACCACCACTGCAAGCACCAGCGAGACGAAGAGAACGAAGAGGAGAGACAAAGCCACCACGCCGGCGTGGCGAGGGTCGAGGAGGATCAACCCTCGGTGGGAGAAGATCGCGTCGTACAACCTGGGCCTGTGCTACTTCAACGGCGAAGGCATCGCGCAGAACATCACTGTCGCCGCGCAGCTCTTCCAACGCGCGGCCGATCTGGGATACATCAACGGCATCAACTCCTTAGGTATGGCGCGATCACACCACGTCCCTGCCCTCAGCTCCGACACGACCCGTCTGACTGACTTGACTGTTGAATGATTGGTTTGGTTGGGCAGGCCTGTGCTATTACCGAGGCCAAGGAGTGGAGCTCAACATCGACAAGGCGCTGAGCCTGTTCAAGCTCGCCGCTGACCGCGGTACGCGCGTGTGCGCCGGTTCCTGGTCCTCTTTGTTGCCAGCACTCGCCATTATTTACACATTCCACTGCGGCTGGGTTGGTGCTGGTGCTGCCGTTGCTGCAGGCTACGTGATTGCGCAGTACAACCTGGCCAACTGTCTGGGCACCGGGGCCAACGGGATCTACGAAAAGAACCTGACCACCTCGGCCTGCCTTTATCTTCGCTCCTCCTCCCAGGGTACTTCTTATAAGCCACTTTTAGGCCCGCTTGCTGTCGAGCAACCCACCCCGACCACCAGAGATGGCCCTAACAACGTGCGCGATTGATTTGTTTGTTCTTTAGGTGATGTGGCCGCGTTCGCGCATCTCCTGGCCATCACCAGGAACCCGCAGTACTTCGGGAAGAAGGAGGTCGAATACGTCGTACCCACGCTCTTCAACCAATGGTACACGCCCCCTTGCTGGATGAACGCTCATGGGTATAGGCCGAGTTTTGAGCTGAGCTGACTCTTGGCTCAGTCTGGCCAAGTGCTGGGAGGAGGGCCTGTTCGGGCGGCATTCGTGGGAGCGAAACGAAGGCCGGCGAGAGGCGAGCGAACCCCAGGCGGAGGAGCGACAGACGCAGAAGATAACGAAAATGAAAACGAAGACGAAGACGAAGACGAAGAAGACGAAGAAACAGACGAAGAAGCAAAAGATGCAACTCCAGTCGTCGCTCGAGAGAACGGAGGCCAGAAGGAGCGACGACGGGCGATTAGAGATGAAGGGCGGTGTGGACAGCTCGGAAGCGGAGGTCGTTCGAGCGAACGCGGCGCACACGTCAAAAGCGAAGAAAAAGAAGAGCAAAAAGAAGAGGCCAGCGAAAGAGGAGAAGAAGCGAGACAGCCGAAGCAGGGCGAGAGCCAAGGCCAGGCGCAGGCTCGAGGCGGCGGAGAAGGCGGCGGAGGACCGACGCGGCTGCCTGCCCCAGGAGATCGTCGCGCGGATGTACGAACGACGCAACACCTGCGTGCGACCCGAGTGCGAGCAGCAGTTCTGGGGCAAGGGCAGGGTCATGTGGAAGTTTCCGCTCTTCCTTCCCTCACCGTCATCGTCGTCATTATCGTCCTCTTCTCCGTCATCTTCGTCTTCGTTTCCGGCTACATCGACATCGACATCGACCATGGCGCCCACGCCGTCGTCAGCAGCGCTCGCGTCGGCCCCGCTGCTGTCGCTGCTCTCGCCGGCGGCAACGGCGCCCGGCTTCGGCTCGGTGGAGGAGATGGCCACGCGCTACCTGGTCTACTTTGAAGAGGAGGAAAGAATAGAGGCCACCACTGCCGACACCGAAGGCGACGGCGACAGCGGTGACGCCAACCGCCAGTCAGACCCCAATGGCGTCACAGGAGACAACGACAACGACAGCACCACCAGTCCAGCACCACCACTGCCGTCATCATCACCACCCGAGGGGAAGGTCATGTGGCGGAAGCTGCTCCTGCCCTTCTGCAGCGTCCACTGCAGTCAGCTCACCACGACCAGTACATGAAATGGTACCAATTTATTGAGCGATGAAAACATGGTGTGTTTTGTTGGCACGCGGCACCCACACCCTAGTGGTGGCGGCTTCGCCTGCCGTGGTTCTTCAACTCGCGGCCGTCCTGGGCGATGACGCACAGCGTGCAGCACACCACCTTCATGAAGTCCACGCAGTCGTCTCTCTGAATGTCCAACAAATGTGAGTTGCGTGCGGTGCGTTACATGTAAGGCAACCGTTGCGTTACCGGATGTAGTGATGGTGGGCGTAGAATATACCCTGTAGTCGAGCTCGCGTCTAATGTTGATGCGGTTCTGGAGGATGAGGCAGGACGGACCGATGCCGCCGGAGACCGGCCACCAGGTGGTGCACACGAGGCAGGTGAGACCGCACAGACAGCACCCGGCGCAGGGCAGTGTGCTGTCGTGCGACTCCACGTTTCGGCCGAACTGGATGCAGGGGCAGCAGAACGAACAGAGACCTGGGTGGTATGCCAAGGAAGAGATGACGTCATCAAGAGTGAGCCAAGGACTGTCAACCCGACGGGCTACTGGGGAGAAGAAGTACAGATGTCGCAGTCTGAACAGCAGTCGCACAATCCGGACTCGAAGTCAGCACCGTAGCCCATGTTGAAGGTGAGTCCTAGTCAGGGGTGCGGAAGGGTGAAGGTGTATGTGCAGCAAGAAGAGAAAGAGAACAAACGCTTTCACCGGCGGCGGGCGGGAGGGGTTACCAACTTCGACACGAACAGTACCGTCCTGGCAGCTTGCGACCGGAGGATTCCTCGTTGCAACAAGCGAGCAACAGCAACCAACCCTAACACGAGGCAATGCGCTGCACGGTCGTCTCCTTTTAGGCGCATGTCCGCAAAAATGGTCTACATTCATTTCCCTTTTGTTTCTCGTGTCTGCGCTTTTCTTTGTGAGCGCAAACAAACATTCACAGGCGGAACGGCAGGCAAACATCAGTTGGCAATTGCACAACACTTCATTACCGATCATGACGGAGTACGTTAATCGATCCTTGGCGCATGAGATTACCACATCTTTTCCTGCCTTTCCTGCAGGATTTTAATTGATATGCCTAATTTATTGAAATATATCTCAATACGTGCAGAGCACAAGTGAGGGCGGCAATCAATCAGAAGTTGATTGAATCGGGTGAAAAGGAAAAGTACGCGCTCCTCGTCTTCTCCTTTGCGCTTTGCGCTGTGGTAGCTAGTTCGTTAGTTGTGTCCTCGGTATTAGAGCAGGACCAGCAATGCTTGACCACGCAACCACCGGGCTGACTTGTCTTTCGTTTGGCGGGTGCTCGCAGGCTGAAGGAAATGCTGCGCACAAAGCTGGTCCAGTGCGGATGGCGAGATGAGATGAAGGGCTACTGCCGAGGTACTCCCCACATCCACACTTCTATGTACAGTGCGCACTTGTCGCTGCCTACGCACACACACAAGCACAGCGCCGACGGCGTGAGTGCACAAACACGCACCGCTGCACGCGCACCGCTGCACACGCACACGCAGAAGCGCATCCTCACCAGCTCGGCTCGCGAGACGTATGCTCACGCTTCCTTCCGCACAACGTTCAGAGATCATTCGGCAGAAGGGCGTCGACAAAGTGAACGTGGAGGAGTTGGTCGAGGAAATCACACCCAAGGGCCGAGGTACGCGCCCTTCCTCCCAAACCCGCCCACGCACTGCGCGCGTCCCTCTGATCGAAAAATCACCCTCGACTGACCTTTTTCCTTTTTCTCTCCTTATGTCACATCTTCCTCCTCCTCCTCCTCCTCTTCTTTCTCAACAACGCCCAGCGGCTGTGCCGGCACCAGTCAAGGCGGAGCTCTTGCAGCGTGTGCGACGCTTCCTGAATACAGCCAATGCACACGCGTGAGGCTGTGATGGCCAATTATTTTAATTTTTTTTTTAAAAAAAACACACCACAAACTCTCGGCTGCCGGCACGATCGGTCGATCATCATTGCCATCGATGGCTCTCTACCAGCCCATGGCGGCCTTGATGACCGGTCCAGCAACGCCCGCCATCTTCCTGTGCCCGCTCACCTGCACACGGCCACGTTAGCGGTGTGCTGCGGTGGGGGGGGGGAGCGCTGCGCGAGAGGTACCGAGGGGTGACCCGCACAGCCATGGTCCTCGGGGCTGAGAATGTGCTGCATGTCGATGTAGGTGATGTTTACTCCCTTGGCCTTCTCCCTGTGACGCGTTGCGGCGATCATTCTCATCAGTGCGTGCTTGATAACGTGTGATGCGCATGTGCGCGTGCGGTTTGTATGCGTGTGCGGTGCGTGTGCGTGTGCGTGTGCGTACTTGTCAACGACGTTCTTGACGTAAGAGCAGCAGGGCTGCGAGATCATGGGGCCGCAGGCCAGGAAGAAATGAGGAGTCTCGTGGTTGCCCTTGTACTGGCTGTAGATGTACTCCACGAACTTTTGGTAGCCTGGTTGATGTTGATTGTTGTTGTGGACGATGATGAAAGGGTTACGCTACGAACATGTCGAGAAAGCGGTGATAGGGAGGCAATCGATTCCATCGCACCTTCTTCGAAGATGTCCTGCGGAGGCGCGGGCTGGGTGGAATAGTCGTTGGTGCCCAGATTGATCACCACTGCCTGGAGAGTGCGTGTGCGGTGGTGCGTGTGCGTCGGGCGGTGAGCGGAATGTGAAAGAAAGCGGAATGCCCACGCGCACGTACCTGGGGAGTCCACACGCCAAAGTGCCACGCCGAGTCATGGGCGGTGGGTAGGGTCCGCGGGAACAGCGAGGGGAAGGGCTCGGCCGACGTGATGTTCTTGTCGCCGTAGTTCCGCACCACGCCCCGCCCGCTCCAGCACTCGAGATGCAGCTCCGCGCTCAGGCTCTTGGCGATCAGCGAACCGTAGGTCCTGTGCCAGAGCGAGTTGTGAGCTTATCATCGCTCGTGTGTGTCATTTGTATGTGCGGTGTGTGCGTGTGCGGTTGTGCGTGTGCGGTGCGTGTCGTGTGTCGTACAGGCCGCTGTTCTCGGTGGCGGCAGTGAAGGGGCAAGGCGGGTGGCCTTCGATGCCGTAGCCGCACGAGATGGAATCGCCCACGAACTCGATGCGGCGGCTCTCGAGTGCCTTCGGGCGCATCGTCGCCTTGACCGCCGGAATGAAGAAGCGCTCCCCATCGTCGCCCGACGACGCGCCCGCCACCTCGAAGCCGTGGAAGGTGACCACGCCGAACAGCGCCTCGGTGCGCTTGCGCAGCACCACAGAGTGCGTCACACCTGTGTCGGTCCGCGAGCGATCAACCAAGTCGCGAGTGAGTACAGGCCTGTGATGATGATCATCATCGTATGTACCGGTGCTGAGGCCGCTGGCCACGGTGTACTGGCGCACGCCGCTGGTGGTGTTGATGAGACCCACCGACACGCCGTCCACGAACACTTCGAACACGTTCCCGTTACTGTCGAGCAGCGCCTCGATGGCCTTGCCCCTGAAGCTGCGCATGCCCAGGTTTTATTTTACATTTATTAATTTATTAATTAATTTATTGATTAAATAAAGGGAGGGGTGGGAGTACGAGGTGTGGATTTCGACGTTGGACCATTCGAACTCGACGGCGCCGGAGACGGTCGAGGACTGCTGGACGCGTCCTACGTACTGGACGGTCTGGCCCGCACCGACGGCCACCCAAAGCGCCACCACGACCACCACGAACGCCGTCCACCTCATCTTCTGGTATTACGTGACAATGAGACAAGGGGAGAGGATCGGGAGCAGAACAGTGCGGTCCACTGTGGTTGGTCGGCTCCAGGAGAGCGTGCTATTGGCCCACAACAAAACAACGTGACGCCCAACAAGCACTGATGGCTCAACTCTCAATGCACACATCCACAAGCCTCTCCAGATGATGTGTGATCATTCATTCAATGTTTGATTGCTACGAGCCTCGGCTTCGTTCAAGGGTAGAAGTTCTCGTCGACGCCAGCGCCGCACACGACGGCGTTGCCACGTACTGCTTGATGGCGGGCTGGTTCCAGCCGCCGAACGGCGAGAAGTCCGAGAACGAAGGGTTGTTGTCGTAGTGCGCGCTGTAGTGTTGTGTTGTGGTGCGTGTGTTGTATGTGTCGTGTCATTGCGTGAGCATTCTTGCCATTCTTGTGGATCGCAGGAGGGACAAGGGAATGGGGGCTACGTACTACCACAGAGGGAAGCGGGAGGCGCCGGTCCACGAGCCCATGATGGAGGACCACTGGTACTGCGAGGTGTAGATGCCCACGGTCTGGCCCATCGACAGGGCCTGGTTCACGGCCTCGGTCAGCCACGCCCTGTTCGACGCAACGTCGTTCCAGTACTGCGAGCCCTCAATGTCGAACCTGGCATACGAGCGTCGATCAGCGACTTCCTGCTGTACATCATCGCTAGAGATGAAGAGACGACATGTACCAGAACATGCCGTACTGGCAGTTGTAGTTGCGGAGGTTCTGCACGGCCTCCTGCACCTGGGTGGCGGCCGACTTGCCTGTGATCATGTGTGCGTGTGAGCGAAACGCATGTTTCGCCAATCAAAACAGTCGCCACAAAAAATAAAAAAATAGAATAAAAAGAAATGAAATAATAATCAATGCAACAGATCTCTGGGAAGGGGGGCGAGGAGGGTACCGCACTGCGGGCACGGGAACATGTAGACGTCGACGTGGGACATGCCACCCGCCCACGCGTTGTAGACTAGGTGAAGCGGGGGGGGGTTTAGCCGCAGACTTCCTTCCAAGCGGGAACTTCCGCTTAAGCGATTTAAAAAAAATAGGGGGAGGAGCAAGTACTGGTGTGAGGGCCAACGCTGTCCACCTGACCAATCGAGAGGTAGGCCTGCAATCATGAAAAAGATGAACCGCAAATTCCGGGATTAGAGATGAAAATGGAGGTGCGGGAAAATCTCTCGCCACATGTATTCGATCTACAAGCAAATGGAAGGGCCTTATGGGGAACTCGTGTGGACAGATGATGAAGGAGGGACATACACGGACGATGCCGAAGGAGTAGCCGTTCTGCTTCAGGCAGGACCAGGCCGAGGGCAGGGTCTCCTGCGAGACGTCAACGCCGTAGGTCGCGAACGACGCAGCGATGAGGCTGCAGAGCACCAGGGCAAACAGGACGCTCTTCATCTTGCGTAAGGCGGAGAGAGATCTCTTGATGAGATAGCGATGTTCGGATGTGGTTCGACCAAGGACATTAGTGCCGACCAATTAACGCCTGCCCGCTGAAGCATCTGCGTCGGTCAGCCCCCTTAAAGTGCTCGTGCGAAACTCGTTGGACATGTTGTGGTGCGCTCGCATTGGGCAACTTGTCGTTTTCGTTTAGGTCCGAAATTGCCGCAGCAGCACTAACACCACCAGGCCACTTCCTTTCTCTTGTTGTAAGCAAGGTACGCACACAACCTACACACACGTCTAATCTTCCTGTGGCAATCCGTTAGTAACGCTCCGCTCGGTTATCCTCCAGTGAAAATGATTCGTGCGTCTCTCATCTTCGCCGCGGTTCTGTTTGCCCTCGCGGCTTGTGCCCCTCATGCCGACGCCACCTACGGCGTTGACGTCTCCACCGTACCGTCTCCTCCCACTATTATGATTTTTATTTCTCGTGAGATTATTATTATTATTTTTAGTTTTAACCTCCTT